ACGGTGAGGCACCAGCATTTATAACTACATGTAGGCCTATCTAAATTCTAATTGAGAAAAAAAAGAGCATTTTAATATAATATATAAATGTAAAGTTACTGGGTAATCGTTTGTTTAAATAAAGAGGAATCGGAACGTTTATTCCGTAGCACTAACAGCAAAGAGTCTACATAACAAGAGGGGCCACTTCTCTCTTTGAGCCAGTTAAAAAAGTGTCCTCAAAATTCGGTGGCACCCTTTGCGAACAGAGTTACCCTACTTGAGTTTAAAAAATCAAAGTGAAACTAGCAAGTTTTTGAATAAATTTCGGGAGAACGCTCATTTAAAATGGTTACGCTGACAAAAAAACCTCTTCCGGGGAAAAGGGTGATTGTTCTCTTCGTTTAATTTGACTTTAGAATGAAAGGCGAGAGGTCATTAAAATAAATGAAACCTAAAACTCCGCAATAAACGAACCCGAACAGTTGATGAACAGCAGTCGATCTGCGCACGCAAGGAGGTGCTATTCCTATTCTTCTTCTGGAAAAACGAAAGAGAGCTTCAAAACAGACTGCAGCGCAAGGAGTTTAGAACTAATGGAGCCTCCTCTCTCTCTTCGCGGCGCCACGAGCAGTACGCCGCGGTGGGGATCAAATATGGCCGCCGAGTGTGGGCTAAATCTCGAACTGTGGCGTTTCTTTTTATAGAATCTTATCGGGCTGGACCACGTTGTGGGGGTGGGCGGGGTGGGGGAATGCACGCAAGGAAGAGGGGATGGGGCTGGGATGAAAGAGGAGGGGCGGGCCTTGGGAAGGGACGAAGGAGAATGGGGAAAATTAAATAAGAGAGAGAGAGAGAGAGAGAGAGAGAGAGAGAGAGAGAGAGAGAGAGAGAGAGAGAGCGAGAAAGAGAGAGTGAGAGACAGAGAGAGAGAGAGAGACAGACAGACAGACAGACAGACAGACAGAGAGAGAAGAGAGAGATTGTGATCAACTGACGGGCTGACGGATAATGGCAGGGAGAAAAAAAAATTCTGTGTGTGATACAGACTATTCAATTCTTTAAGAGTTTTATGTTATAATCTAGTTTAAAAATCAGAAAGATGTGTAAAATAAGAAGAAAACTTTTAATCTCCTTGCTGCAGCGCCATCTGAAGCAAAGAGCGAACTTCCGGCGGAAGGCGGACACTTTTTTGGCTGAGTGGCCCATCATGTTATGTACTATCTTTGCTAACAACAGGAATCGGTTTCAGAATGGATTATTTTACCAGCTTTGCAATCTGTACTAGCCTTGAGGACATGAAAGTTTTGTGTGTGTGTGTGTGTTGGGTTTTTTTTTGCTTCAGTAAAATCAGTGCTTTATGGCGCTTCCAACACAATAGGGTCTTAAAAGTGCCGAAGATAAGAGGTGTTACAAGAGAGTAACACTAACAAACACAGAAAAGGAGGGGAGGTAATGACGATAGATGTTTCAAAGTAAAGAAGAAGCAAACCACACCAGAGCACCCGCCAACCACCCACAGTGGCGTCTAAATGAATTATTTTGCTTTGCTGCACCGGGGAGCAGCGACTGCTGCCGTAACCTGACAAAATGCCCCCCCCCCCCTCCCCCTTAAAAAAAAAATCAAAGCAGTTTCGAGAAAAGGGGGCTTTTTTGTCAACGTAAGCATTAGAATGCAGAGTTCTTCCGAAATTTGAATTCTAATAATTTATTTAAAATAAAACTAGTTACAGTTTCACTTTGATTTTTGTTTTCACGCAAATAAGACAACTGACTAGACCAGGCTTACGATTTACCAAATTTTAAAAAAGGGCTCCAAAATGGAAAAAAGGCGTTTTGTCAACGGGGAACTGCGACTAGATCTAGTATTTTACTTTACCCTTAGCCTTCCCGGACAAGGGCGAAAAATTTCGAGGGGCTCGAGTAAAAGTTGCACACAGTAAAGATCCCTTGGTAGTCTAAAATCGATAAGAGTAGGCTTCGGCCAGCACCCGGACAAAATTCAAAATTTCCTACCAACTGAAAAAGTTTAACGTGTCCAGCGCGCTCATATGATCTCAGTTGCGAGCGCCGTATAACACTTAACACCCCCCCCCCCCCCCCCCCCCACACACACACATTTACGGTTTGGTAAGAATTAATTTTGAATTTTGGCTATGCCGAGACTATTTTTTTTTTATACCGATCCGATTTTGGACAACCAAGGGACCTTTAATGTGTACAACTTGCGCACGGGACCTCCGAGATTTTTCACGCTCATGCGAGAAGGCTAGGTGTCATATTTCACCTATCCTGAAGCCCGCCACTCACTACGCAGTTAAAAGGGTGCACCCGTCTTGAGATGGTCTCAAGACCAACTGAACGCGATCTGAAGATGATCTCAAGATGATCTCAAGACCAAAAATCCGGATTGCTCAGTTAGAAATCTAAAAAAAAACCCGTGAGATCGCTTGAATTCAGAACGAGCCTGAAAATTATCTGACGGATTGGAGATCAGGGTACTCGACGCCAAAAATAAAAGGGTGCCAACGTCAAAATTTGGCAAATCTGACTTCAGAATCTTCATCAGCGTCAAATTTTAGTGGGATTTGATACGAAACACTGCTATCAAACGTTTGATGTTGATCAAGTAATGTTAATAACTTATTCTTTGCGTGAGCCAGTTATTTTTCTTTTTTCTAAGACAGTAGATATTTGCGGTTGAATTTATTGAATGCTGAGGAAAAATCAACGTTAACGAGGGTACTTTTTGTTAATTTTCCCTCAGTATTCAATACAATTCAACCACATATTATCATTTAAAAACAGTTGAGTCAATTGTTGTTGTTATGTCGCAGCATGGGTCCTGGAATTTTGACGGGCAGACCACAATAATCTGAACAACACAAAATCCGACACAATCCCTCAAGAACAGACAGATAAAATAGAATTCATTTGTACCAACTGCAATAAGGTTATTATTATTAACGAAAGCCTACTTTTTATTCGAGATGGTGCAACGGATTGGGAAGTAAAGCAAACACTGAACTCATGATTATTATGTTCACTGTTTCACAGCCAAAACAATCGAGAAAATATCTTTAGTCATTCTCACTTTCGGAAAAAATGCAAATTAATGTTATTTTAAAACCTGCGGTAGGCATAATGATCTCAAGATTTTTAAATAGTGAATCTAAGAACAACAAAAATGAGAAAGCGCCAACAGAAGGCTAGCACAGCACTAACGTATATTATGTTATTATTAATAGATTTCAATGGGCGCAGTGAAATTCGCCCCCCCCCCCCTTTTTCCTCTCTCCATAACGTCATAACTCTGCGAGCAAATTGTTTGATACAGAACTTGCCCCCCCCCCCCTAAAAAAAGAATTGAATAGTTTACATTGCGACAGTACATTTAGTCGGGTGAAAATGGTAAATGATCCTTCACATATCAGAGCATTGCGTGCTTTTGGGTCAGTTCTTTATTTGAAGCGCATTGTTATAGATACCCTTGCTCATCACAGGGAGTTAGGAATTGGACTTAAAGTAAGTACAGCACGATACAGTATAATATTATGTTGCGTGTCAATGAATAAAATGGGACAGCTGTCAGCGAGGGCTGTAAATGAAATAAAACAGGCATTTTAGTAGAACAGTTCAAAACCCACTCTCTTGACAAAATGTACGGCGATAATTTCCTTCTTCGCGCATTCTTCTTTCTGCCAGTTTCAGTGTTGTAGTTCTACTCGTAGTTTGTCTCTTATTTCTCTCTTGTTACAGCGCTCGTATAGCTTCTACTATCCACACATTGTATGACGTAAGCCTGTCGGCATAATTTTACACCTAATTTGCACACATACACACACACACACACACACACACACACACACACACACACACACACACACACACACACATTTTTCTCCAGAAGCACTCTAAAATTCTAAAAATACAAACCAAAAAGCGTAACTGAAAATTATCGAGTAGATCCAACTGAAGCAGTGTTATTGTACATACTGCCAAATAAATATGTAATTAAATAACGCCTAAAAACTACTAAGTCAACAAAAACAAAAAAAAACCCCACCAAGACCTTCCTTTGAGTTGCTCTAGTCATTTGAAGACCCCCCCCCCCAAACCCCCCATCAATATTTTTCGTTTCTTTGATATGCTCGATGAAAAGTATGCCCCGGACTTATTTTGCTCTGTTGATAAAGGAATGTACTTTTATCGAGAAAAAAAAAAGGCGGTGATTGTGTTGAGGTGAATTGATCAAAGTTGTTCCTTGGTGCAATAAGCCATAACAAAGAAAGTCAACTATATTTAATTTATTCACGTTGAAACAGTTCAGATGGCACTTAGAGCGCACGTGCTTTCATAAAATGAATTTCATGTAGTATCTATCCATGTCATTATTCCAATCTAATAACCATGAACCGTCGCCCACACAATGGCAGGCTATTACATGAAAACAGCACAGCTTTGTATTTCAGAGCTGCGATTTTAATTAGCAATGAAGGTATAAGAGCGTGGAGATCTCTTGTTAATGGTCTCTACTTGCCGTGCGGGGCTGAAAAAGATGGTTGATGATGATGCACTTTGGTTGCTATTGTTTGCGGTCATTAGATCTTCATCATCATCATCCAGTGTCAGATCTGCGACAGACATCGGCGATCATGGTTCTTCATTGATTCCTGTGCTCGGATGCTCTAAAAAAAGCTACGTTTCCCTGATCTTTTCCTGTTACCTATTGGTTCAGGTTCCCTAACTATGTCGTTCTGGGCCTTCCCCTGCCTCACTTGCCCTTTATTTGATTATTAGATCATTAGAGCTTACATTATTTTTTTGTATCATGTTCCTGGTGAAGACCTTTACCAAGTGAAACGTCGAATCAGTATAAAATTTGAAAATTCTACAAGTCTTAACCCTTTTTTTTTTTATTCCTTACTATTTACAATGATGATGATGATGATGATGATGATGATGATGATGATGAGGATGATGATGAGGATGATGATGATGAAAAAGTTCAGCAGAGACAGTTTTTATCTATGAGTCGTGTTTATTAACTAAACGAATTAAGTAAGCCCAACATGTACGAGAAATTGAGGGTCAATCACAAGATTATGACATAAAGTGTTTATTGTTCCATTATATTATATCACCGTTGGATGAATATATTATTTCTAAATTACAGAAATATTTTATTGTAACAGCAAAAATAAAAAATTCGCACAAGCACAAACGATATGATTTTGTCGGTTATAAAATTCAACTCGTGTGTCGTGAAGTTCCTTGCCATTGACGTCGGTGTCGTGCAGGGTTTCAAAATAGCATCAGATCACGTTGTCGAACCATTCGATTAAAGTGTCCATCGTCTGCACACTCCATAATAAGCTGGCACAGTATTATTTCTTTGTTGATAAACTCCGGGAAAATGACGTAACTCTTTTCGGACCATGATTTATCAGCATTATAGTAGCAATGGTGTAAAAAGAAGACGTTGGGGCTTAAAAGGGAGACATTGGGGGGCATCCAGGGGTAAAGAAATAGTAAACAGAAATATGCCTTTTCCTATCCCAGGATGAGTGGCGCAGTGCAGTTGGAGGTGTCCACATTGAAGACGTTCATGTCCGAGATTGTTGGCTTCAGGCTGAGGAAAATGTTCAGAGCTTCTCCATTGGGGCTGTTCGGTCCAAACAACCGGTTGACCACGGGGTAGCAACGGTCAACTGACATCATCATCTCCATTTTGATGTTGCCCATCTGCGCAGACGCGAGAAAAGAGCGTGGCGTGAGTAAGGTGGGTGTCGACGGACGGGAGTGGGGGTTCTTGTGTTCTGTGACTATGTTGAGTGAGGGCACAGCAGTGCGGGAGAGAGAGAGAGAGAGAGAGGGAGAGAGA